GCAGGAAGGAAGGAAGGAAGGAAGGAAGGAAGGAAGGAAGGAAGGGAGGGAGGGAGGAAGGAAGGAAGGGAGAAAAAGAACGGGCAATCCAGCAATGGTTCAGGCAGCTGGATCCCAATGGCTCACTGTATGGTTGAAGTCCTCGATCAGGTGACTTGAGAAACACACTGTGAATGCGTGTTTGTGTGTGTGTGTGTGTGTGTGTGTGTGTGTGTGGCAAGAATCTCAGTAGAGGCAGAGGTGGAGGGGCAGGGATTACAGTGTGATTATTTCCCATGCGGGGTAGGGCAGGGGGCAGTGGTGCTTTCTCTCTGTCACTCTCTGGCGAGTGCATGTGCTCTCTGGCAGAAAGAAATCAAGTGGGAAAGAAAAAAAAAAGAGCAGTCTGATATTGACCTGGCACTTAGAACTAAAGAATGGTTTCCCCTTATTAGACACAAACAATCTCACAGAACACCAACTTTAGACAAGGATATGCTGAGACTATGATGACAATCCTTGGAATGTGTCATTTTAATCAGCACCAAATAGTCCTTAGACCAAACTTTGAAGAACACTACTGTAGTTTCCTCCTTCATATTTTTTAAACCTTATTTATTTACTTATTTTTTATTTTAATTTGACCAGAGTGAGAAAAAGAGACAGACAAAGAGAGAGAGAGAGAGAAAGTGAGAAAGCAAGCTGACAGGTCTGGGACTTAAAATGTGGTCGGCCATGTGGGAGTTCAAGGCCCTTAACCACTATGCCACCTGCTGGCCCCACTCCTTCATGCCAGAGATGAGTAAGTAAAATGAAGAAAACAGAAATGTCGTGGTATCCCCTAAACCCTCCATTCCTTAGTAATTTGAACTATTTAATTTCTATGTCTCCTGAGATGAGAAATTAATGTCCCAACAGCAGCCACTAATCCCAGGGGTGTGCTAATGTCCAAGGTCCACCTCACAGTTGATTTTACCACCCACCTTCCTGCTCCTTAACCATTGATATAGCATTTATATCATATATGTGCTTAGTAAAATGAGCAGAGGTCATTTGGGTGGTGACTATGTAGAGCAAAGTGTCCCAAAGAGACTAGGTAAGGGACCAAGGATCACAATCATATCACCAGCCTCAACTTGTCTTTGATGGAGTCCCGGACCCGGTGGCTTAAACTCACGCCGGGTGCATGTGCGTGCGTGCCCAAGATCCCGAGAGGAGCATTAATCTGCTTCTGCCTGATTCCTGTTATATTCCTCTTGGAACACACTGACAATATGTTTCTTATTTGAACAACAGGTGGTTTTAATAGTCACTTTTGCTTTGACAAAACTACAAAGAAGAAAATATGTACTCCCCAAATCTTGAAGGGAGAGAATAGGACGTGAATATCGGGGGTAGCATGGTGGGTGGTTAAGGAGACTGGACTCCTACATAGCTGACTATGGTTCGAGTCTCAGACCTGATGACTTCTTTTCTCTCTTTCCCCTCTCTTTTTCTCTATCTCTCTCTCTCTGGTCAAATTGGAAAATAATAATAAATAAATTATAATAAAATAATTCTTTTTAAAGAAAAGATTAGACAGGCAAGAAGGCATTGTACAGCCAACAGGTGGTGTGATGGTTAAGGTGCTGGACTTGCACATGGCCAAACAAGGTTAGAGACCCAGATCTGACTGTTTGCTTTCTCACTTTCCCTTTCTCTCTCTCTGGTCAAATTTAAAAATAATCATAATAAATAAAATTAAATAAATAATTTTTTTAAAAGAAGGCATTATCAATTCAAATGAAGAAAAAAGGGAAAAGGGACCAGCAGTTAGCGTAATGGCTATGTTGCTGGACTCCCACGTAGTCGACTGTGGTTCGAGTACCAGATCTGGTGGCTTAAAACTCACGCCGGGCGCGTGTGTGTGCGTGCCCAAGATCCCGAGAGGAGAATGGAGGAGAAGGGATTGTGGCATGGCCAACCCCCCTGGGGGGTGATTTCTCGCTTTCTGTCTCTCTGCCTCTCTCTGTCTGTCTGGCGAGCGCACACGCCCTATAGCAAAAACCTCTCCAAGAAAAAAAAAAAAAGAAAAAAGGGGAAAAAGAAAAGAGATTTAAACCTGGGTTTGGTATTACAAACTGGGGTATGAAGAAACACTGCTGTACATAAGGTATTGAGTATGTAAGCTGACACGTGTTATCTCACATTGTTGGTTCATCTTAATGGAAAAAAGATTAGTGGGATCTTGTAGGGCATGCTTTTTCCCATTTCAGTTTTTGAGTTCTTGGTATTTACTTTGGAGAGAAGAAGAAGAGAAAGAGAAAAGGATAGAGTTAGGAGTTAGTCTGGGCATAGTCTCTTCCTCAGGTCACTCTCTACTGTTGATGTTCTCTTTATGTTGGGATTAGGAGACCTTTCTTTTTGCCTAGATCACAGGAATGTTTAAGAATAATGACTTGAGCATTACTCCAGCAGATGGTGTAGGGGTTCCATCTCTGGACTCCCACATAGTCAACCACAGTTCAAGTCCTGCCCTCAGTGGCTTAAAACTCACACTGGGTGCATGTGTGTGTGTGTCCAAAATCTTGAGAGGAGAATAGAGAAGAAGGGATTGCAGTGTGGTCATCCTCCCAGAGATGATTTTTCACTTTCTATCTCTCTCTTTCTCTCAGATGAGTATATGCACCCTGTGGCAAAAGTCTCTAAGAAAGAGGAAAAAAAAAAAACTCTCTTTCTCAAAGATAAAAATAAATAAATAAATAAGTAAAAGAATGACTTGATTACAAAGATCTCAGGGATTTACTCTTAAGCCCTTTTAGTTCAGGTGTTTCAGGATCATTTCTATGCCTGAAATTTTAACATTATGCCTACTAGAAAAATAGTGTAAAATTCAGCACCCTGAGAAGATTTTGATGTTCTAGTTCATGTCTATTATAAATGGCAAATAGCACCTCAGCTAATGGCTCCAGGAAGCCAACACTAGTGTTGGGACTTTAGGGGTAGAAGAATGGGGAATAAGGAATAGTTGTAACAAATAATCCTAGAATCTGATTATTTCCAGCAAAGAAAACTTTATTTATATTTAAATAATACATGTAGCTAAGGCTAAGCTTATGCCCCAGTTTGCCTAGAAGAGTGCTGGTTCATCCCTCTTGTCCCAGTGTAATTATTTAGAATACATCTTTTCACTCTAAAAAAATGGCCCAGTTTAAGTAACAAATTATATACGTATCCTATAAACCACTTGGGTGTTGATATGGATCCCTGAAGACCTGAGATTGAGGGACATGTTATAAAAAATGAACAGCCCAGGGCTAGGTGGTGGTATGATGGCAACCTTACATGGGTAAGGTGCTGGGTTCACATCCCAGGACACCTCCCTGAGCATACTAGACATGTGCACGAGTGCCCATGGTTTGAGCTGGCTGAGACTAGGGTTGGACCACACCATGAAGATCCCATCGTAGTACTTGTTTCTCTGTCTCTCTTTCCTTCTCACTCTGTTTCTCTCTTAAGAAAGAAATACATTTATGAAAACAAACAAAGAAAAAAGAACAGCCATGTAGGGTAGAATCATGAAGAGGAGAGCTAGGAGATGAGGAAAGGCAGGCTACCCAGCAGTAGGTAGAGCCATTAGGCCATCTACAGCAGGGCCACTTACTGTTAAAGTTGCTATCCTTCTGCTGTTATGATGTAAGCTTGTATCTGTGACCCCAGAACCTCTGTAACAAAGCCAGCTGCATATTCATTGTCTTTATAGGACAGTTGGTTCAGAAGTTAAAGGAAAAGGAGCTGTATCTTCTATTTTGCATCCATGTGGTACATGAAAGGGGCAGCACATGTGGGAGAGGGAGGTGACCCATGCAGTGACAAGGCAGGAGTTCAGAGTGGACAGCTACTGAAAAGTACGAGGTACTCATTCCTTCTCCAGAATTACAGGAGACATGAAATGGGTTATATATGTTGGAGGAAGAGGATGCACAAAGCTCTTACCCCATGTCAGATTAGATCTGAATCAACACAGAATCTTGAAGGATTGGGTACTTCTGAAGAATTTTGACCAAAAGTCCAAAGTTTCATTGACAAACTTTATATGAAAGAGCCCTAAGAATCTTAATTACTGAAGGATTTTTTTTTTTTGAGAAAGATTTTCACTATAGGGCATGTGCGCTCGCCAGACAGACAGAGAGAGACATAGAGACAGAAAGCAAGAAATCATCCCCCGGGGGGGTGGTCACGCGGCAACCCCTTCTCTTCCATTCTCCACTTGGGATCTTGGGCACGCATGCACACGTGCCCGGAGTGAGTTCTAAGCCACCGGGTCCGGGACACGAACCTCAGTCGACTACGTGGGAGTCCAGTGACATAGCCATTACGCTAACTGCTGGTTCCCTGAAGGATGTTTTTGAGGATGTTGTTTCCTCTGTTCCTTCTTTACCAGAACCAGTAAAAAAAATTGGTTTTAGGTTTCAGTATGGGAATGATTAAACTTGCCTTAAATAAGTAATGTATTGTCTTCTAGACTCTATGAGTCTCGGAACTGATCTTGTTTTCTTCTCTGCCTTAGCTGCTGGGTCCAAATCTGGATTTATCTAGTCAGAGCCTCTTACAGAGCACAGTTTGGTTTTGAACTTCACTCTGGGTCCTACTCTTGTTTTTCCTCTGATCTAATTTCTTCATTCACTTATTTTTAATTTATTACATCATAATTTTAAAAGTTTATTTCTTTCGAAAGAGAAAGATAAGCATCCTCAACAAGGTTCCATGCCATGACTCTCCCCGCACCTCTCCCCCAGGCCTTCCAGACCAGGATCATGGGGGCACGTGCGCATCATGCACAAGTCAACTGGGGAAGACGTGTGACCTTTCCCATGGACCCAACATCTCCTGAGCAGCATGCTTTCACTGTGCCATGAAGCTGGCCTGCATAATTTTTTTTTTATTTGCTATAGAGCATGTATACTCACTGGGGAGAGAGAGAAAGAGAGAGAGAGAGAGAGAGAGAGAGAGAAGGTAAGCAAGAAAGTATGACTCAAACTGAATGGACACACCACAATTTTTCTCTTTCATTCTCCTCTTAGGATTTTGGACATGCATGCACATGTACCTGGTATGTTTTCCAAGTCACCAGGTCTGGGACTTGAGCCAAACAGACGGCCATGTACAATCTAGCCATCTTAACCATCACGCTCGGGCCCCATAATATATTTTTTAATCCACTTGAAAGAATACAGTCCAGGGACCAGCAGTTAGCATAATGGCTATGTCACTGGACTCCCACGTAGTAGACTGCGGTTCGTATCCCAGACCTGGTGGCTTAAAACTCACGCCGGGCACGTGTGCATGTGTGCCCAAGATCCCAAGAGGAGAATGGAGGAGAAGAGACTGCGGTGTAGCCATTCCCCCTGAGAGGTGATTTCTCACTTTCTGTCTCTCTGTCTCTCTCTGTCTGTCTGGTGAGCACATGCGCCCTATAGCAAAAACTCTCGAAAAAAAAAAAAAAAAAGAAAGAATACAGTCCAATAAACGTATCCAAAAGATTTCAGTTTCTTATTTTTCATTTTCTATGTATATTTATAATATTTTTCTTTCTGTTAAAGTGATATCCCAAGTGCATGTGGTTTTGGTAAATGTCCTGAAATTCTTCTACAATCCACATACAACAAAGAGACAGTGAATTATGGTTGGCCTGCAAACCTCTTAGAGGAATGAGGTATAGGAAGTAGAATTGGGAGAAAAGAGATGGTAACTGTCAGAAGGATAAGAGGTACAACAGGCACGAGTGTGCCAGTCCACATATTTGTTTATGGAGCTAAATAACAGACTACATGCTGAGAGCGACTTGGCTAATCAGCTGAGATTTGAACTCTGTAAAAAAGACAATGAGGATATCGTAGAGGGGATAACTCAAGGTGTTTCAGTAAGTACTAATTCTTCATTGTAGCTACAAATATATATCTTCGTGAGACACCGCAAATGGCTTTAGTCTAATTGATTTGAACTTCTCTTTGAGCCTACATGATTCAGTGATGAAAAGAGTGTGGAAACAATATCTTCCACATTATTCCCGTTGTAAGAGGTTTCTTTCCATCTCAAAACCATGTTATTCTGTTTAGCCAAATGCCATTATTGCTTATGAATGCTTAATAGATTGAAAGAAAGACAGGACTCTGTAAGTGCCAGAAACACAAACTAAATGTTTTATTGCATTCTAAAGGAGGAAAGTGGAGAATGTAAGTACTTTAGTAAAAATCCATGACACGTCTAATAGAGCCAACTTTGGCATTCGTAGCCCCCCAGTCAAGATATCTCCTGTACTCCCCTGGCCTCAGCAGGTACTGCCGTCCCCTGTAGCTGGGCATCTCATAGAGGACCCAGCAGCCCTCTAGCACGTTGAGGGAATGGATTTCATTGAGGTGGAAACGATCCTGAAGAGAGAGACAATCGTCTGTGATCTCTGACATTTGTCCTCTGAAGTCATCTCTCTCATAGATCCTCATCCTGAAAGTGCCAGAGTGCTGAGGTGGCAGACAGAAAAGAAAAAGTAAATGAACAACAATGGAGATAAAGTTCCAGTTCTTGCCCTTCCCTGGTCACACTGGTTCAGTTCTCTTGGTCCAGATTTTCTTCCAGAACCACCATGTTGCAATTTCAAGGAGCCTTCTCACTCCTCATCACCTACCAATAAGGAGTCTGATAATTCCTGGACAAAGTTAGGAATGGAACTTAGCAAGTAACCCTTCAGCTTTCTAGCCACCAGTCTCTAGTCCTTGGGAATTAAAAGTTCTTATAATAGAAATGATCACTTCCCTTTAGTGCCAGTTATTTGAGAAAGCCCTTCTGGAAAGTGAAAGTCATTGGAAGGCTAAGTATCATTTGATATATGACTCTTGTTAAAAAGGCACTGATATTTAACTGATATTTCTGTAAGACCAGTTAATATACATTGGAATGATGATGATTAAATTCTTGTAAAAAACATTGACACATTCTCCTTATCTCTGTTTTGTAAACTCACTTTCAGTTCAAATTTCAACCTCTCTTACTGTGAAGCTTCCTTTTGGGCCTCCTCTCAATGTACTAATTTCTCTCACAACAAGAATCACCTTCATTAGCTGTTTTGATGACATATCCCAGCCTCTCATACTTAGTTTTTCTAAAAACTCTGCAAGCATGTCTCAGAAAATGTAGAGTCTCAAATCTTAACTTTGCAGTTGGCCTTTTTTCTAATTAAGCCAATAGGTACTGGCCACTAAATTACAATATAACAGAAATCAGAAGATTGAAGTCTGTCTTCTCCTGGAAAAAATAATCAAGTAGAAACAAAACGAGCCAAATTATTTTTAATCAATCAAACAGTCCCAGACTGTATTGGTAAATTTTCCTATATTGGCTTTCTGACTTGGAATAAACATTTTAAGAAATTATATCTGAACAGCTGGTAAATTCAGTTTCCTCTATGTCCTGCTTTTTCGTAATTAGTCTTTGATCCTTTTTATTATTTTTTTACTACATTTAAAATGTAAAAGTTGGAAGCACGTGATTGATAAAAGAACCCCACCACCGAGTTCATGCAGAATGGCTTCAATCAGACACACAGCTAGACCGGACTGCACCGTACGATGCGTCACTTCCACTTTCCGCTCTCTAGTTGGAACTACATGGTTTAAGGTAATATTTTAAAATATATATCTACCTGTTCTAAAGGGACCGAGGACAAAGACAGAGTCACACTCACTTGGGGGATGAGGCGGCAGGAGCGGATGGAGTCGCTGAAGCCCATCCACTGCTGGTAGTCGGGGTACTCGCCGCGCCGCAGGAAGTACTGGTAGCCCTGATAGTTGGGGCGCTCATAGAGCATCCAGCAGCCGGATGGAGTTGCAGCGGCTGAAGTAGTTCTGCAGGTTGGGGCAGTCGCTGCTGCATTCGTAGCAGCGGCCCTGGAAGCCCCGGTCCTCGTAGAAGGTGATCTGCAAAGTGCAAGTCGTGGAACGTGGAGCGCGTTGCCCCCACCGAAGATACTGCGTAAGGGCAAAGTCTGAGCATCAGCTATCCAGGACTTACCTTTCCCATTTTGGAGAGGGTGAGCAGGAGATGTTCTGTCGGTGCTATGTGGGGCCGGGGAAACGCCGCTGTATATATAGCAGCCCTGACTGCTGCCTCCACAGGAAATCACACAAAAGGGGCCATTTCGGTGAGTAAGGGGATTTGCAAGCTCCCCGCTCTCCCTCCCCCTGGTCATTGAGGTTGGCTGAATGGTTTACTCTCATTCTTTCTGGTAGGTTCGGGTTGTTCTATTTCACTGAAGCTGTTGTTGCCACCAAAATGAAAAGTCTTTACTCTTTTAGTTGAGCAAAAGGTTGAGCGGAATTCTATTCCCATGCTTTTATTTTATAGCTTACTCTGCTTAACTGACTTCTCGAAAGTAATTAAACTAAGCAATGTGTTCTGCTCATGCATCGGTGGTGAAAGGGAAAAAAAAACTGTAAAAGTCAGAACCTAAATGATGAGGACTCTTAAGAAAGAGGGAATCAAGTGAAGTAGGCTGTGAAAGTGTTCTGAAAACCATAAATCTTAGTTCAAATTCAAGATTGTGTGATCAACATTGTTGTTATATGGGGGTTTGTCTTGAGAAAATTTATAATTGACTGGAAATTCATAGGTTGTTGGAGGCTGGGTATTCTCTCTTGCTCATTTCTACCCCTGAGCCTCAGAGTGGAGGGTTGGCACACAGTAGGTCCACAGTACTTGGCTTTGGCCTTAAAGAGAGCACATAGTTGTGGCCTTCTTTCCTTTCTCACATCTTCCTGGGAGCCTACATCTTCTTCTTCTTTTTTTATGTTACTGACTGCTCAGAGTCCTGTTTGCTCTTTGGTGTCCCAGCCTCTCTCCACCATCAAATATTACTATCAAACAGTTGATAGGTCTCCTTAAGGAAAAAGACCACACTGGGGCTCAGAGTTGACCTCTACTGCTGACAAACTGGACATTCTACAGTGTTAGTAGTGGGATTCGCCTTGGGAAGTAGGAGTTAATGCATAGCCTTCCTCCTTGTCTCCATGAATACTCTATAGTGAGGTTATTGTGCCAATACTAGGATGGCTAATGGCAGAGGCTGTAATCAAGTGACTAAGTCTTTCTATTTGATTGTTTAGTGCCTCTTCCGTCTACCATCAAATGAGCTTTAACATGGGATTCAACCATGTTCACATACTGTGCCCACGCCTGTGTCTCTGTCAGACACACCTATCCCAGATCTTCTTGTCCCTAATTGACTCTTTTTTCCTTGTAGGCCTCGGACTAACCAACTAAGCCACTCCTCACTGCTAAATGCCTCCTCGTATGTCCTGGTTTCACCTTCTTTCCTTTCCACGTGCAGTGGATTATTGAGTGCACTGCCTAAAAGTGGCCCACTGGGAGGATTTCTCTCACTGCTAATTTCTATATCTGTATTTAATTTTATTTATTATTATTATTACTATTGTTCAGTTTGACCAGAGAGAGACAGGGAGAATGGGAAAGCAAGTCACCAGGTCCAGGACTTGAGCCATGGTTGGCCATTTGAGAGTCCAGTACCCAAACCACACCACCTGCCGGCCCCCCTCACTGCTATTTTTAGGGCCACCTAAGAGCTGTTGTACAACAGCATTCCATTTTGCCTTGTATCCACAGAGGAAGCAAACTCATTAGTGAACCAAGCTCAGCCTTTTTCTTCCTCTGTCAGCTGGTCATTAGAGACCCCTGCATGCAGTTGTAAGTCTGAGCTGAGAGAGAGTTGGTGCAATAGTGCTGACCTCAGCGAATCCCACAGGAGTGCTAGGGCTAGAGTTGTCATGAGCTGAGGCAGGGGCCTTGGACTTCATGGCTGCATTGCCCAGTGATTTGATGTGGGCTGCCACTGTGGAGGGTGCAATCTCAGATAAGACAGCGCCCTTCAGGAGAGGAGCATTCCTAGAGACGAACTCAGCTTTAAGCTGTCAGCATATGAGTGAGAGTCTGGACAGTGTCCACAGTATCCACTACGAGAAGAAAATACAAATAGGTCATGATGCCACCAGCTGACATAGCCACAGTTCATGTTTGGGTGTTTTATCTTCCAAGGCTTGAGATGTGTAAAACTCAAGTATGGTTGTATTACTTCTACTGTGTAGAATAGTCTTGTTTTTTCTCTAAGACATCTTTTAAAGTGATTAGTATACTTACTAAGTGAACATATTTATCCTTTTAATAAAAATATATTTTTTGGCGATAACTCTGAAGAAAAAATTCATCCTGGACGTCCTACTGGCTAGCCATACCCATGCTTGAGGTCTTGTTAGTACTCAAGAGTCCTAGGACCGGTCACCTGATGGACTCACTAGATATATAAATTGTCTTTCATGTGCTGAAAGTTTTCACCCTTAAAGAGACCAAACTCATGACCTTGTTTTATATCAGACTGAATATATTCACTATGGTTCACAGGTGAGTGTGTGAAGATGATGATGAGATATCACTTCCTAAGTGTTCACCTGTTCATCCAGATCTTTATATGTAGTCTGATGTTTAAATGATTTAGGACCCAGTCACACAGATTCACCTAGTGTCTGGTCTGATGCATGGAGAGATTAGTAATCCTATGAAAAGATAAAGTATCAGGAACACAAAGTCAGAATATCATGACTGTAATAGAAGAAATTGATGGATTAAACATAATTCAACATCAATTTTGACACCTCTTAAAGGGCCCACTTTGGCATTTTTCTTCCCCTAGTGGTGGCCTGTTGTCTTTGGAGCCTTGGGAGGCATTGGTTCCTCTATAGATTGGTATCTCATAGAAGACCCAGGCTCTTTTACAGATCTGGGGACTAGTGGAAGACGGACTCCTGGAGAGGAGTGATCTGGGCTATCTCTAGGTAGCTGCAGCTGAGGCTCCTATTGTTATCTGGTACAGTCTTACTCTATGGGAGCAGGTTAGCTATGATAAAACAGAACAGAAGAAAGAAGAAACCAGTGTCTGTTCTATGGGTTTATAATATTTTTTATAATTTATAAAACCCTAAATGAAGATAAAATTTGTACAGTACTTAGATCACATGAATCAGGCAACCTACCCTTTGACCTGTCAGATTCATGCATATAATTCAGTTATAACGACCCTGGGGTTTCACTGTAATTTGTAAAGTAAGGTAGCTACTTTCTTCTCACTTCCCTTAGGACTGGGGCTTCCTCTCCTGGGATGTTTAATCCATCAGTTTCTTCTATTAGAATCATGATATTCTGACTTTGTGTTCCTGGTACTATTATCCTAATATTCTTTGGGCCTCAAGGATCCTAGCTGTTCAAAAATTTCCAGATGTAGGGCAGCTGGTGTTCACAGATAGCTCCTGAAAATAGCTGCTATCTCCAATCGTATATATATTTTTTATATATAGGTTTTTGCTGTAGGGACTGTGCGCTTGTCAGAAAGACAGAGAACGACAGAGAGACAGAAAGCGAGAAATCACCCCTCCCCCCGGGGGTGGTGGTGGCCATGCTGCACTCTCTTCTCTTCCATTCTCCTCTTGGGATCTTAGGCACACAAGCACATGCACCTGGCGTGAGTTTAAGCGACTGAGTCTGAGACTTGAACCGTGGTTGACTACATGGGAGTCCAGCGACATAGCCATTACACCAACTGCTGGTCCTGCTATCCCTAATCTAAGCAATGCTGTATCCTTCCACTAACTCATGCTACCCATAGTGGGTCCAGAACCTACAGAATATCCAGCAGATACCCAGGCCCTGGCATAACTCCCCATGGAATGATAAAGAGTATGGGATGGTTATATGCTGGTTCTGGCCCATTCCTTAGTCTATGCCATGTGACATTGTAGAATTTGTCCCAATCTCTTATACCTTAGTGGCCACCCTTAAAAGAGTCCAGAGACAAATATTACGTTAAAGCATATTGGGGCTCAAATAAAATACTTAGACATAACGTGTTGGTTCAAGAGATTAATGAGAGAGTCTTATCTGCTGATTCCAATGTTATGGGCATGTCTTGGCCTCAAATCCAAGGCCTACACTTAAGTTCTCTTGGTTGTATAGCCAGCTTCTCAAGTGCTGGGGCATCAGAAACATGGGCTGGGTACAGCAGGAGAGTGACTGTATATATAGTTAAAGAAAAAATTATTCATGAAACTTGTTAAAGATGGTGAGAGGACTTTGTTTCAAGGGGGCCATGAAGGTAGGTATAGGAACAATTGCAATGGGATTTTGTAGTGGAGAAGAGAATTTGAACTCAACTCCAACTTCAACAAGGACACATGGGTATTTAGCCAAGGAGCAAGGTAGTGGTCAGTGGGTGAAAAATTTACTAGGGGGAAACATCAAGGAATATTTCTAAACTTACTTGATAAGAATATTTCCAAGGGTGAAAGTTACTAAACTGGTTTAAGCAAGAGTCTTGCTCAAACTGGATTCTACAAGGATGGAGAGAGAAATCCAAGGTTGAACCTAGTCAAACAGGAGTCAGAGAAAATTAACTGAAGTTTTGGGTAAAGAGGAGAGTCAATATTTTAGTAAATACTAAAGACGGTAGTATTAATAGCCTTGTTAGAGTAATAATATGTTTGCACTTCCCAGCTATGTCATAGTGTTTATACTTTCGCTTATGTTATGGAGACTAAATGTGATCAGTGGGTAATTGTATATATTGAAAACTTATCTAATTTAGCAAAGATCCTCTGTTAGATTATTTTGAGATTCCGTTGAATGGCTATCATTCGTGTGGCATCTCAAGCAAGGTGCCAAGAGGAGTTAACATGTGAAAACTAGAGCAAGTGGCGTTGTCCAAGGGCGCCCACTGCTGGTGGCCAATGTTCCTGCGCAGTGCAGAGTGTTCAGCCCTTGCCACCCAGCTGAACACATACCAAGTTGTGCAGCTGAAGCACTGCTGCAGGTTGGAGTAGTCACTGCCGCAATTGCAGGAGGTAATCTGCAAAGGAACATGTCAACAGTTGGGAGAATCGTCCCCAGAATACATTACTATGACTCTGTGACAACCCTTTGTTCTAAACCCACCTCACGGTGGCTTGTAGAGAGAGGATAAA